AGCCCCAGTAGATAGTTGTACGTCATAGGTTCACATCCTTCTAGTTGCTGTACGTGGGACTCGGCCTCGCGTTGGACGGAGAAGTGGTGCCTCGGGGCGCTCCCGGGATCCGAACCCGGGCCACCAGCATCAGAGCGCGTGCACTTAACCGCTAAGCCACGGGGCCGGCCCTGTGATTTTTTTTTTTAATGCTACCTTTTCTGTTCCCTTTCCAGTCACCTGCTTGTTGTTGCTCACTGCTCTTTCCAGCTGAGTTCTGAGGCATCTTGGGTGGGTTGAGGAGAGCAGAATAATACAAGGTCCAGCTGGTTGTCGAGCCCCTGCAGGTGCTGGGGCAGAGTGGGTGGGAGTGCGGTCAGGGGCCGTCCTCCTACAGACGGACACCGACAGGGCACGTCTTCGCTAGGCATGTTTGGAACCCAACTCGGAGCCTGGAAGACGTACCCTGGGAGAGCTGCGTTTGGGGATTTTGAATTCTTTTGGTGTGGAGTTGAGATTTCTTGAAGTTCTCACCCCCGCTGCCCTCTTTCCTGCGTGTGCCCCCCTCAGGCCGAGACCCCCGATCGCGCGTGGCGGCTCCCCCCCCCCGGGTTCGGGTGCGGAGGCCCGGGAGCGGCTGTGGCGCGCGGGCCGGGGGTGAGCGCGCTTTGATGAGCAGGGCTTGCGGGTGCCAAAGCCATTTTTAGACGTTGGTTTTGTAAGTACATCCTTAAGATAATCAGACAGGGGGAGAAAGAGTTCTCATATCCATTGTGTCTGGAAATTTCAATTTTTTTTTGATGCAGAGTGGACGCAGATATCTACCAGATACCTCCGAGAGCAGTTGGCCAAGATTTCCGACTTTTACCACGTGGCTTCCAGCGCGGGCGACGGCCCGGTGCCTGTGCCCCCGGACGTGGAGCAGGCCCTGAAGCAGTGGGAGTACAACGAAAAGCTGGCCTCGCACATGTTCCAGGTACCCCTCCAGACGCTCCAGGCTGCGGCGCGTGCGTTTGAGAAGAGAGCGCATCCTTTGTAGTTTAGTTTTGGGGAGTTAGATTGTATCCTTATACGAATCAGTACGTTCAGAGAAAGCAATCTGACAGTTCTCACGTTGAGTTGTATTCAGGGTGACACCTTTGCCCCGAGAGGACAGCTTCTTGCTATACGTCTTGATCTCCAGCTTTCAATGATGTCAGCTCTTTTCACGCCATTAATTACTTTGTAATTGTGCCATTAAAGATAACCCTTCTAGACTTGTTATTTTGCAAAAACTGGATGTTTTCATTCAGTAAATATATTTTATTTATTGTGCTGATGCCTCCTATCTCATAGTAGATCTCCTTTGGAGCTTAGTGATTCCCAAGAAGGGTCATCTTAATTTGGTTCAGCTGCAGTGTAAAGTGCAGTGGAGGGTCGTTGCGGAGTGAGTGGCCTCTCCTCCGGACGCGCTGCTGTAAATCACATTGCCCAGAAGAGGGCGCGTGTGCCGTTGTTGGCCTCTATTTATTCCCGGCGAGGAGGAAGGAGAAGCGTTCAGCTGAAGTGGTATTGCTAGCACAGACCTTCCCTCCCTGCTGCCTTGATCAAGAGGAAGGGGCTGGGAAGGATGTGTGCTTTCTAAATCCCCCGCTTAGGACTTTAATTATTTCCACACGGTAAGCGACACTTTTTGAGCACTCCAAGTCAAAGAGGCCTGGTCCTTTTGGGAAGTAGCATTGTTAGTTTTAAGTCGATGAAAACAACTCCTACAAGTCCTAGCTCCGTTTAGCAGACGACTGCTTCAGAGCCTGCTCTGAACTTGCATGACTGTTACTGGGCTGAGGATTCAGTCTGCGTCTTTGAGAAAGTGTCTCTCAGCATGCTTCATATTTTTGGAAGGATTACTTTATGTATTAGAAACATTGAAATCACTATCTCTTTTGTAGGAAGCAATTAGGTCCTAAACTGATGAATCTAATTGGAACATTAATGTTAACGTTTTAAAAGTTCATTTTATTTTAATTTGCCATTTTCTGAAATGTGAAATTAACTCTAGTATATAAAGGTGTAGACATCCGTGTGCAGAAATAAGGGTATAGGTACATAGACAGGAGGACAGTGTTGAGGGTGGACGTTAGGTCGTCGTTGGAAGTCATGTTTATGAAGGTTCTTTTTTTTTTTAACCTTATATTCACCATCTCTTATACTTTAAAACAAAATTCCGTTTTAATATATTTATTTGTTAACTTAAAGTTCACTTTACTGGTCTTAAAATTTTAAGTTGTTCTTTTTCTGTGCCTAAGCTTTTAATTCTTTTTGACTCTAAGCATTTTAAAAATTAGAAATTAGCCACAAGTAAACCCCAATATCATGTGATGTCAATGTGGTGTCATGGTAATCTTTTAAATACTGAAACTATAATTTATTGATGTATTTTCACACGAATTGTTGATAACCATGGTGGTGGACCACTGGTGATGCATAGATATGTAAAAGTTTTTTGGAAGGAAGTGGGACTTCGTGTTAACTACTAAGGTTGTTACCAGATTTACCATAAAAGTGTGTCTTTCCCAGAAAACATACCTTTTTGTTTCTATTTTAAAGATTTTTTCATGATGTGAATCATAAGAGCTATAATATGACATTAGATATGTCTGTGGGTAGAATGTCATAATAGCATGTGTGTATTTATATGTTATGTATGAAGGCAATAGATGAAAATGTTAGTAATGTTTATGTTGAGGGGCTATACCACCCCTTGGGGCATTTTGGAAATTTGTGGATATGTTATTCTTTTTTTGGTGTCGTTATGTTGGAGTATTTATATATTATTATAAATTCCTTTCATTTCTTTATATTACAGTCAATTAGGCCATTATATTGATTTTTGAGGTTATATTTTATAGGTAGGTTATAGTATCTGAAATTCAGATACTATATTGAATAGATGGGGGACAGAGATGGGGGCTATTAAGAGGACATGGGATCTGATGGAATTTTCAGCCTCTTGTGGAGACAGTGGTGTGATGGGTGCTTGCATTCTTTATGATTATCACCATTGGTCAAGTTTCCTCCTGTGAGTGTAAGTTCATACCCCCTGAAATCTAGCCCTGGGAGTCTGAAAGCTTCTGAATTTCCTTTCTTGTTGGAATTAATTTTTTTCCATGTAGAATGAAGCAGATTACCAAAAAAAACCAGAAACAAAGAAAAATAAACCCAAACCAACCATACAAAATAACACTAGTTCTTTATTTTGTTTAGAATTTGGACTATGATCAATGAAACCATGTTTTACTATAACACCAAAAACAATAATAGTAAAATTACACTTAAGCATAAGAGTGTTCTTTTTTGAGTTTTAGTTGGTTTTGCTTTGCCATTATTAGTGTAATCTTTCTTTGTTCATTTAAGGAAGGAATGCTAGAAAAGCACGAATATTTGACATGGATCTTGGATGTTTTAGAAAAGATCAGACCAATGGATGACGATCTTCTTAAACTCTTGTTACCACTAATGCTGCAGGTATGGTACATGTAACATGAGCCAGCTGATTTTATGGGCAAGAAATGAGTCTGATAAGAATGATTACATAGAGGTGGAAGGAAGAAATGTCTTGATGCTCCGCCACAGGAAGTGATCAAGAGGCGTCTTACAAGTCTTGTAGTCATGTGCTTTGGCCATGTTTGTAGTTTTTATGCACATGTGCTTTTTAATTATTCTTACCCACAGTGATTTCTCCCATCGCTAAGCTAAGTGAACAACTGTTTAAATACTGTCTCCTTGTTCACACAAATGTCTGGGAAAACAAATCATCTCTTTTCAAGGATATGGAAGATCTTCTACATTCTTTTGACATTCTTTGAGCCACTGGGGGCAGGAGCTTCCTATTTTAGTGATTGGTCTAAGATCTGTTAAAATTTAGGTTATCTGGATGAAATTTATTTTAAAAAAATAAAGTTTTCTTGGAATACATGCATTTGATAATTCAAACAATATGAAAGAGTATCCAGTGAAAAATAATTCTCTCTCTCACCCTGGGACCCTCTCAGAGACCACGCCATGCTACTGTCCTGTTTCCTCCCTGAGGTGGTCAACCCTGTGCTGTCCATTCTAGTAGCCACCAGCCAGATGTGACAAGTACAAATTGAGGCGTGTTCTTAGTGTAAATTGCACACCAGGTTTCAGACTTAGTACAGAAAAAAGAGTGTATAATATCTCATTGATATTACTTTTTGTGTTCATTACATGTTGAAATGATAGCATTTTGGATATATCAGGCTCAATAAAATACATTCTTTTAATTTGGCCTGCTATTTTTCAAATGACTACTAGAGAATTTAAAATTACGTATGTGGCTTCGTTATGTTCCTGTTGGACAGCACGGGTCTGTACAGTACCTTAAAAGGTTTTTTTTAAATGAAAAGAAGTCTCTATTAGCATAGATGTTTCGTTGAGCAGCTGAGACGTGACTGAAGCTGGTGTCCCGTGCTTTTCAGTATTCAGATGAGTTTGTTCAGTCCGCCTACCTGTCGCGTCGTCTCGCCTACTTTTGTGCCCGGCGTCTTGCCTTGCTGCTGAGCGATAGCCCTAACCTCCTCGCTGCCCACTCGCCCCACATGATGATAGGACCCAGCAACTCGAGCCTCGGGGCGCCCAGCCCTGGCCCGCCCGGCCCCGGCGTGAGCCCCGTGCAGCTGGCCTTCTCAGACTTCCTCTCCTGCGCGCAGCATGGTCCCCTGGTTTATGGACTTAGTTGTATGTTGCAGGTAAGTCCTTGGCCCCTGTTATTTGATGTCGGAGGTCACTGAGCTGGGCTCACGTCTTCAGCTTGCATGGCACAGCTCTAGTTTCCCCTCACCCAATCAATGTAGGTTGAAATTTCATGTTTTTGTTTCCCTCTATTGGGTCACGCTGAGAGAAGATTTGTTGCTTCCGTCTAGAAGAAAGTTATTGTAGTGGTCCTCTATCAGGGCCGTGAAGTAGTTCAGTGTTGAAAAGTCCTTCTGGAAGCACAGAGTAAGTCGGCTGTATCTCTGTTCTTCTGGAAGGACAGCTTCTCCATGCAGCAGTCTGTAGCTTCCTCAATTCACGTCTTGAGTTCGTTGCCTCCCCTCTCTGTTTCTTTAAAATTAAAATAATTTATCAGGCTCTGTTCATCTGCCAAGCATCATTGCTTGTGCGGTCCTTGAGCATCCAGTAACGTGCCAGCGGCTGGATGGATACTGTCAGGAATGAGATACAGCACTGCCCTGGAGGGGCTCACAGGTCAGTGTTCAGGTCACTGTTCTTGGGCTCTTAGTGTGTCCTGCTCTTTACTAAGGGGCTTCGGGACAGGGCTGGCCTTGGAGACATGGTCTCTGCTCTAGTGGGGTTTACTGTCTTCTGAGGAAGACAGGCTCATGAATGGACAGTTTCTGTGTACCATGACAAGGGCTGATGGAGGGATGCACAGGGAGCTGAGGGAGTTGGGAAGTGGAACTTCTAGTCCAACCTGGAGTTCAGGGAGGCTTCCTGAAAGAAGTGATCGTGACTGGCACTTATGAGTTAAAAAAAGGGTGCAGAGAGTGTCCCTGGCAGAGGGAAGAGCCTGGGAAGAGGCCCAGAGGCTGATCAGTCATCTTGTGTGCAGGTTGGTGGTAATGGAACATAAAGTATAAAACCTGGTGGGCTCAGGGTGTAGGCCTGTGTGCCTTATGACTGGGATGTCATTGGATGGTTTTCTGTAGGGAAGTGACACGCTCAGTTGTGTGGTTTAGTTAGATTGTTTTGGCCACAGTAGAGGGAATATTTGTGGGAGTGAGGAGGTTGGGGGAGAAACAAGGCAAAGAAATCCGTTTGGGAAAAGTCTAGGTAAGTTGAGTTTGGACTGTTTTATCCCTTAGGATTTCCAAGTGGATATTTTCAAGAGGTTGTTACATGTCTGATTCTGCAGATGTGTGGATTTGAATCACTCGGGGTCACTTGGCTGGTCAGAACCCTGAGAGGGGGTAGATTCTCTAAAGAGTTAGTGAGAGAGCACTTGTGGACGTGAGGGGCACGAGGGGTTGAGAGAAGGCAGAGGGGAAGTTCACAGAGGTGACCAAGAAAGTGCGGCCAGATTGGAGAGAGAAGGGGGGAGAGTATTGTTATAGAACAACAATAATGCCCTCATAGTTCTCGTATAATCATGTTAATAGCATTTATTATGTTCTAGGCACTAAGTGGTAACATATACTAAGTCGTTTGGTTCTCAGAAGCATCGTATGAGACAGGAGCCAGTATCATTCGTGTAACACTAATCATGAAATAGTGGCATAGGTCACACAGCAAGTAGGTGGCAAAGCCAGAGTTCAAACCCAGACTGGATCCAGAGTCCACGCTCTATCCACCATGCTACACTGTTTCTCTACATACCACAGGAAGTTTCAAAGAGGAGTTGATTGTGGACAGTGCCCAGTGATTGGGGGGGGTCTGGTAAGGGGATGGCTGGAACTGTCTTGGACGCTATGCTGGTCATTGACGTCAGTTCAGCGGTGCGTGAGAAGCCAGATTAGGGTGGTTGAGGAGTGATGAAGAATGAGAAGAAATAATGCTGCCTGTTCTTTTGAGAAACATGTCTTTGCAGGGAAGAGAGAGAGCTTGCTGCTGGGTGAGTGGAGAGTTTTAAAAATTTTATTTTTTGTTGGGCAGATTTGAACATGTGTCTAAGCTAAGGGTAAACTGTTAGAGGGAGAGTCTGAGCATAGGAGAGGAGCAGCGTTTGCTAGATCTGTGCCTTGGGTGTGGGAGGCTCTGGAGTTAAGAATATAGGCAAGAGCTCCATGGCCGGGAGATGAGAGCCCACATTGTCACGAGCAGGAGGAAGGGGGTAGGGGTGTGGGCCGGTGGAGACGGATGCGTTGGTGGGGTCCAGGGACTTGACGTTCTTCATATCTGCCATCTGGTTCCCACAAAGATGTCTCCTAGACTTCAGAATCTAGTAATTTTATATTTAATTTTGCATTTTAGAAAAAAAATATTGCGTTCATTCTCTAAGCTCGTGTAGTTGCTGTTGAGCAGCATGATAGCATCCTGGTTAAGACATACACCTTAGAAACATCACAGACCTTTTAGCCTCTGCTCTGCCACATAGTCACTTTGACCTTGAGCCTCGGTTTCCCCAAGTGTGAACGGGGGTTGGTGACAGTTCCTGGTTCATTACCTCGTAGGGTTAGGGTGATAGTGACTGAAGGCTTCCAGGACAGTGTTCAGCATGGAGTAAGTGCTGAATTAAGTGCGAGCCGTAATGTTTTGTCTGCATTTAGGCAGGGTTCACGTGGGGGTCCAGGCGTGTGTGCTGAAATCAACCCGGGCCGGTTCCCGCTCGGTGTCTCCCCTTCCTCTCCATGCAGTGGGGCTGACACTACCCACCTCGTGGGGCTGTTGTGGCATATAAGTAAGATGGGCACAGAGAGTGCTTCTGCACGCTGGTTGAGTAAAGCGTGTCCGAGAGGGCCGAGGGCAGGAGCTGGCACTTTGCTGCCTTGGCCTTGCCCCGCCCCGCCCAGGAGCTGAGGACAGATTCTACGTTGTCAGTGAGTTATTAAGACTAAAAAGGAGGAATATGTGACAGAAGCTATAGGTGGCCAGGAAAGCTTAAAACATTTACTATCTGGCTTTTTATAGAAAAAGTTTGCGAATTGCTGGTCCAGGGTTACTGCCTGCCCAACATTTATGAAGCTACTTATTGTACCATTATTTGAGAGATTTAAAAATAATAATTCCTTTTAGATTTAATAAGCTTAGTAATTACATATTCTAATTCCATCTCATTTTTTAAATTGCATGAAAAAATTGTTCGAAGTGACAATTCTTAAGTGATGATGACTGCATTTTTGTTAAGTTTCCTGTTCTGGAATATTAGCTTATGAATCATACTATCCTTAATTTCTCAACAGCTGTACTTCCTCCTTTTCAAGTTAATAATTCTGTCTTCGTTTTGTCTTATCGTTTGAAAAGTTGAGAATGGGGTAAGATATTCGTGTATTAAACTCACTGGTAGGAAAGTGTAATAGTTATGACAAGGTGTCATTTTTACTGTTAAGCTGTTGTTACACTTTTCCCTTTCCTCTAAATACCTGGATCTCCCTGCTTTATTTCCAGACTGTCACTCTGTGTTGCCCAAGTGCCTTGGTGTGGAATTACTCCACAAACGACAGTAAGAGCTCGACCCCGGGCTCGCCCCTGGACCTGCTGCAGGTGGCCCCCTCCAGCCTCCCCATGCCGGGCGGGAACACGGCTTTCAATCAGCAGGTAGACTTTCCATGACGGGGGGCTGGAGAGGTGTTTTCATTCTTCGGAGGTGTCAGGCATAGTGGGCATCTCAGATGCTTGGGTGGCACTCCTAGCCCTGCCCCCATCTCTCGGGGTGACCTTTGGGAGGGATGGAGCCTCTCTGAACTGAGGAAGTTCATCACACTGCTCCTTTTCTTCTCATGGCCTCGCTAGGCAGTTCTCACAGGGAGTTCTGCCGCCCAGACAGCACTTGTGGTGGTGGTTCTGACACGTGACCTCAACTCCCATGGTAGTTGTCGGTGATATTTAGTAACTGTTAGGTGTTTATTAGTGTCAGGTTATTTGGTTCAAAGACTTAAGAACCTTGAACCATAGGATCGTAACTAATATTTAGAATAAGATCCTCATTTTTTACCAAGCAGTTTTCTTGACAAAATTCATAAAACATGGCCAGTTGCTTTCATACATAGAAGAATCGCTCAAAGATAATATTTGAGAACTTTGACCTTTCCATATGATGTCCTAAAAAAATTTCACTTGTAGAGATTTTTTGTAAGCATATATTTTTGTGAGCATTTATTATTGAAAACTGGCATTGAATCATCGTTTATAAATTTTAAAGTGTGCTTCTTGGGCAACAGGCTGAAGTTCCTACAGTGCAGTCAAGATTGTAGTTCACCCTGGGATGCTCTGCTCCTGTGGAAACCTGATGTGATTTAGATGACCGCTGTGGCTTTCCAAGCATGAGTTAATTAAAAGCGATTATCTTTCAGGTTCGGGCAAGGATTTACGAGGTAGAACAGCAGATAAAACAAAGAGGCCGTGCAGTGGAAGTTCGGTGGTCTTTTGACAAGTGCCAGGAGTCGACAGCAGGTACAGAACACGACAGAAGGAGGAGTGCTTTTGAGTGTTGGACTTGATGCCTGTCTCTGACTCTTGTAAATCATTCCACATTCTGAATAAGGACGCTTTTTTGAGGACGTTCTTCGGTCTGTGTGCTTTAGATCCTGGCTGTCTGGAACGTCGCGTTTGGTTTTGTTGGCAATTCTTTTATGCTGAGAATGAAAATTTCTTAAAATTCCTTTTGCCCTACGTAATGATGATTTTGTACTATGCTGTTCTGGCTTTGTCTGGCCTCTTTAACCGCTTGCTTAATTTCCAAATCTAGGGGTGACCATCAGTCGGGTTCTGCACACGTTGGAAGTGTTGGACCGACATTGTTTTGACCGAACTGATTCCAGCAATTCGATGGAGACACTTTATCATAAGATTTTCTGGGCAAACCAAAACAAAGATAACCAAGAGGTAGTTAATATCTCTTTTCTTCTTTTCACCTTTTATTTTCTTAGCATATTTTCTTCTTTTTTATTCAGTGAATTCTGACAAAGCTTTTCCATGAAGTATAATATCTCATGAAGGCATCGACACTCTGCAACCTTTCTATTTGTTGGGCTAAAATGACCCACCATTATTAAAACGAGATGTCCATTGGGCTGGTCTGCCTAGGTATATTGATTGGGAAGATTTTTCTTGGCCCCTTTATGATCACTTCCCATCATTTTAGTTTTAGCAGAATGTCCTTCACCTAGTGATTAGACTTTGTATAATGGTTTGGCTTTAACTTAGGGGAATATATTTTAGTATTTAGCACATCAGAGAGCAGGGTCTTGGTCTTTAAAAACCTGTAGACAAGGCATTAGGATTCTCCAGAGAAACAGAACCAATAGGGAAAAAAATTATACATGTATTTTCTATAAGAGCGAGAGAGAAGTATTTATTTATTTTAAGGAATTGGCTCACATGATTGTGGGGGCTTGTAAATCGGAAATGTGCAGGGCAGACCAGCAGGCTGGGGACCCAGGGAGGAGCTGATGTTGCAGTCTTGAGTCTGAGGGCAATGTGGAGGCAGAATTCCTTCTTCCTGAAAGGACTTGTCTTTTCTCTTAAGACCTTCAGCTGATTGGATGAGGCCCACCCACATTATGGAGGGTAATCGGCTTTATTTGAAGTCTACTGTTTTAAATGTTATTCACATTTAAAAAATACCTTCACAGCAACATCTAGACTTGGAGTTTGACCAAAAAACTGGGTACCATAGCCTAGCCAAATTGACATGTAAAATTAACCATCACAGATGATTTTTATCTTAGGCATTCCTACCAATAGATGGTTTCATTATTGCACTGCTCTATAAACATAGGGTTTTCAATTCCTACCAATAGATGGTTTCATTATTGCACTGCTCTATAAACATAGGGTTTTCAATTATTTTTTTCCTCAATCTCCTTTGGGGAGAAATAGGAAGTTTGTCTTCTTTTCACAAAGGAAAGCGCCTATGGTGTATCCACGTTGTGCTGGGCACCAGGAAGGTGGAGGTAAGTTTTAAGACATGGTACCCACCTTCAAGGATTTTCATACTAGCCTTTGGAAATATGTGGAAAGAAGAGAGAAACCAACAAAAACAGCAACCGAAAACCTTTCCTTATTCTACTTTTATGTGAACCTGTTCCAGGTTATTCCTCTTTTTGGAATAATTTATGAGTCTTCCCCCTGCTTCTCAACGATAAGGCTCAAGACCACTGATGTCTAGTAGGGTGTGTGAGTGTTGCCAAGTGTATTTTCTTTTTTTTTTTTTTATGATTTTATTTATTTATTTATTTTTCCCCCAAAGCCCCAGTAGATAGTTGTATGTCATAGCTGCACATCCTTCTAGTTGCTGGACGTGGGACGCGGCCTCAGCATGGCTGGAGAAGTGGTGCGTCGGTGCGCGCCCGGGATCTGAACCCGGGCCACCAGCAGCGGAGCTCGCGCACTTAACCGCTAAGCCACGGGGCCGGCCCCCGAGTGTATTTTCTGACTCGTGAGTCGCAGTAGAGGTGTTTCAGCACCTCTGTGGAGCACCCTGATGACAAGTCTACAATTCTCTGCTTAGTGACGCAGGGTAGAGTGTGCCTGTGTTCTTTTGGGGTGGAAACCTTAAAGTCTGTCTGTTTGTACTCAGGGCTTTCTTAGATAAAAGCCTTCAAGAGTACTCAGACTTTAATCCATAGAAGTGAGGTATCTGGAAGGAAAGTAGGGACCCCCAGAATTCAGGGGGTCCTTTTGGGTTGCTAAGCTTCTTGGACCAAGTGTTGAGTCAAGACCTCATTGCTTCCCGGCAAGACTTGTACCAAGTCCATCAAAACCACGCTGGTGTTGTGGTTAGCCTGACTCGACGGCTTTCTAGTGAAGAGCTCAGCCAACCTCAGAACTACAGCCTCGTTCACCACAGAGACTGTTACTCACAAGCGCTCCAGAGAGCAAATGCGTCTTATCAAGGGCAGAAATGTTGTTTGAGATTTTTGAATAAAATCACACTGGAAGGTTGTTTCTAAAGTGCAGTTGTCTCCACAGTGGGTGCTTGAGACGAGCCATTGCAATGTGAGAGGAAATTATAGAACTTTTATTTACATTACATTTTTGAAAACCTTGTACTTGAAGCAGTTCTGTTTTGTCTAAGTTTTATAATGAACATAATTATTATGGTAGTATAGGTATAGAAGTTATAAATGAGTATGTGTATATTGGAGCGTTGAGTGAAAAAATAAATCTCTGAGCTGAGTGGGTCTGTGAGAGGTGTCTGGAGATGGCTGCTCTGAGCGTCCTCCTGAGGGGTGGCTTCCCCGCCGCCCCGGATGCAGGGAGGTGCTGCCATGAGAGGGCGACGTGTGCTCAGGGCCGAGGGTCCTGGATGCTCAGGTGACACACGTCACGGGCAGGAACATCAGCGTCGCCCATTTAGGAGTCATTATATTAAATGTTGACTCAACTCTGGAAAGATCTGATGTGAGTGGTTGTTTTGTGGTTACTATGCTGTTTTATGAGTAAGACAAAAACTACATTTTAAACCTGTAATTCAGACTAGTCACCTTTTCTTAATAATCTGTCAGCAAGAATAACTGGATAGATCCTTCTGAAATATTTAAAATTAGTCTTCGCAGTTTGACTTTGGCATCTTTGTGTGTGTATCAGTGTCAGTGTGTGTATGGAGGAGAATGACAGTGTTTCATCTCTGTGTCTCCTCCTCACCCAGTCCCTTCGTATATTTCTGGAATTCCTGTGTGAGCTGCGGAGCTGTGCTGACTGATCGGCTGTGACCTTGAGCAAGTCACCCCTGGGCTCTGCCTCAGTGCCCCTACTTGTCCGGTAGGCTCAGAGTGCTTCCCTGTCAGTCTCTAAGGAGACGTGAGCACTCTGAGAATTACGCAGCAGTAGAGAAAGAGGTTTTAAGCATTGTTATTGTTAATGATAATAGAGCAATCATTGCTAGCATTGTATCGGAAGAACCAATACGATGAAGCCATAATTCTCTGATAAGACGGCGTGGTGTAAAGTGACGTGGTTAAGATTCAGCAACACATCTCACTTCTTTAAAATGTGCTTCCCCTTTTTGGTTTCATGATTTGCGTTAGGCCTTGGACAACATGGTAGATAATGGAAACGGTGGTGCCCCTGTGCTGTGCAGGGGTGTGCGGTCTGTTGTGCTGAAGTCGCGCTGAGGTGTGCCTGGGCCCTGGCGCACGGCCCGTTTGCCCACAGCTACCTGGGGAACTCAAACCTCGTCCTCAACTCCCTTTTCTCTGGAACTGCTGAGGGGAAACCCAGTCCTCACCACTTTCCTGTGGGGAGTGGATAGAGATGCGTCCAAATGGGATGTGGGGTCTGAGGTTCGGACTTGTGTATGTAATCAGTCCTGCATTTGGGGAAATCTCGTTGAAAACAGTAATGTACGGGGTGAAGGCCTTCGGGGCCTTGGTCCTGCCCTGTGGGTGGACCGTGCTCACAGGAGCAGAGGCGGCTCTGTGCCCCGAGATGGGCCTGCATGCACTCATTCCACCCGTGCGGTGTCCTCCTCTCCCCTCCCCGCCCCCGTATCCTCAGCTGCTGCTGTGTCAGGCTTGGGGACTATTGTAAGGGAGGTGGAAACACAGATCTCAGAGCCCTTGATGTTGACTTATTCTAGACCTGTGCTACTTGATTTTCCATTTAGCGCCGTGTGAGATGTAAACATCGTAACGCCCAGGACAGGGCCCAGAGACGTGTGTCACACGGTGGCCAGGCAGGTGGTGTAAACTGTGGTGGGCCGCTGGGCAGAGGGCTGCCGAGAGGGTTGGGCCCGGGTGACGGGAGGTGGGTGCGTCCTTTCTGAACAGAGCCACCTGGCGGAATCTCCTTGGGTTTGCAGACCCACAGTTGCTGGTCATCCAACATTTCAGGAGGGCCTGGACGTCGAGGTTTGTGTGTAAACTTTCCCAGTCTTGGAACACTCTGCGGGCCGGGCCGTGTGTCTGTCGCTTCCCCACTCCTGGTATGGGTCTTACACGACGTTTCCTCACTTATGTGCCTGTTGAGTGTTGCAGACCCTTTCTGCTCTGGGCTATGGGAGCAGAGAAGCCCAGCATCCCTGAGGGAGCTGTGATGTGGGGTGTGGGGACCTCCCAATTCCAGGCCTTGACCGAGCCTGTCACTTGCGAGCTGCAGGCGGGGGTCACGTTGCTGACCTCACCTCTGAGCAGAGGATGAGGGAGGTGTCCCCTCAGCCCTGCAGAGCCTCCGGGCCACTTCCTTCCTCTTGGCTTCGCTCTGGGTTGCGTTGGGCATGAGGGGAGAAGCAGCCGCATCTCTGGGTGCCCCGGGGACACGGATGGAAAGGACGCTCTAAACGTGGAGGAGGAGCTGCCTTTCACTTCTCCCCCTGGTGCCCCAGGAAGCAGACTTCCTCCTGTGTCATGGAAAGGCCGAGCAGCTGCACTGGACAGAACTGGCCGGAACAGCACAGCCCATGCGTTTCCTCTTCCCTGCCCGGGAAACCGGCACACCCCCAAACCCTGAAAACCGATGTGTTTGTTGTCTGTATTTGTCTTATTCTTAGAATATTCAGGAAGCATTCTCCGAAGAGGGATGATGAGCAAATGCAAAGGCCCGAAGTCTGAAGCGAGTGCTTTCCTCGGGTCCGCACAGGGCTCCAGGGCCGTCCGGGCGCTGTCAGTGTGGCTGGAGAGCTCCCCCTGACCCGCAGACCTGAGGGCAGGAGTCTCGGTGCCTTTCAGGGCTGTGCTGGTCCTGTGTTTGTCGTCCCGCCAGCCTCTCGCTCCGTAGTCGGGGTCTCTGTTCCTTCTCACCACCGTATCATCTGCCTCTACCATGCCTGGGGCCCAACCAGGCCTCAGGAGATGTTCAGTGAATTTGTGTTTGGGGCTCATAAAGAAGCTGGGACAGTGACCTGGAGGGAAACCCCTCTGTAAGATTTGGCTTGGAAGGTGGGG